CGGCCGACTCAGCGGCGTGAGAGTGGTGCGGTCCCTAAAGAAGGAGCGAGACGCTCCAGAGTCAAGGGTGAAGGTGTGAGAGGCCGAAGCCGACACAGTACCTGAGAGCGCGGACTCACCAGCACCTGAGAGCACAGACGCACTGGCACCTAGAGCTGCAGCCTCACTAGTACCTGACGCGGCAGTACCAATGCCCGGGTCGGGCGGGAAACACCGGTAACAGTCATCCTCATCACTACCAGTCACAGCATACATAGCAGAGAGAATAGCATCAAAGTCAAGATCATAAATAGCTACTCCAGCCCTAGACAGCTCTCCCCAGCGGGGGATCTCAGCGGCCTCTGGAAACTGCTGACGCCAGGCGTCGGTCAGGCGGCCAAAGCAGCGACGGGCTGTGTGGGCGCCTCCACACCTCTCCCCCGCACGGTCACCGGTGCGAAGAACGTAGGGGCAGGGACCAAGCGCACCACCGCGCTGACGCTGCAAGTACCACTCACGGAGCTGCTGAGGGCCGGGGACGGTGCGAGAGCGCTGCTGCGGCTGCTGCTGCTGCTGCTGCTGCTGCTGCTGCTGGCGCTGACCACCCCCAGAGCTGCTCCGCTGGGACGAGCCACTCCGACCCCCGCCTCCACCGCCACCCCCGCCTCCACCGCCACCCCCGTCTCCACCGCCACCTCCCCCACCAGGACCGTCGCTCCCACCGCTCCCACCGCCTCCTCCGCTACCACCTCTGCCGCCACCTCCGCCTCCACCGCCGCCACTAGTACCTCCACTTCCGCCACCACCCCCACCGCCACCCCCACTCCCCCCTCCACCCCCACCGCCTCCTCCACCGCCCCCTCTAGCTCCACCCGCCCCCTTGCCCCCCTTGCCCTTGCCAGAGCGGCGTCTGCCGCTGGGGGCAGACGCCGCGCCGACCGACTCAAAACCAGCGAGGTCTTTCGCAGCGGCAGAGGCGACAGAGGGCAGCAGGGGGGAAGGACCACACCCCTCAAAGATGGGGGTGCGAGGGTCACCCCGAGAGGCCCCTACAGCGACAATACTCTTCTCAGCCGCTAGCAGGGACTCCTCAAGGAGGTCGACAGTGAGAGTGGTGGGACAGACAGAGAGAAACTGGTCCCTAACGACACGAAGGGACTCAGGGAGACGGGTGACGAGAAAGTAGAGAGTGATGTACATGGGAGGAGGGTTCGCAGCGCGGAACTCAGCAGGAAGGGCAGCACGGTAGCGGGTGTCACTAGCGCGGAGGTGGGTAACTAGGTCAGCAACAGTGGGAAAGGAAGCGAGGTCAGGGAAGAGAAACGGCAGCATGAGGCGGCTAAGGGTAGCGGAGGAAGGGGAGGAGTAGCGTGCAACTACAGCGTCGTACAAGGCCTGAGCGGTCTTGCACTGACTAAAGTGGGCACGCTCAGAGGAAGGGAGGTGGCGACGCACAGCAAGACGTGCAGCAGCATCGCGGGTCGCCCACTTGGAGCGAGCAGCAGAGTCAGCATCAGCAGGCGGGGCAGGGACAGCGCCAGAGACAAAGTCAAAGAGAGAGACCTCATCTATCGCATCACACAGTAAGTACAGCTGCAGGTCTTCAATCCAGACGGCAAAGTCAATGGCCCTCCCCTCAGCGTCATAAGTAAGAACATTGGGGGTGGCCATGGCAGCAGCTGAAAGTCTCACCGGGCTAGGAGAGTCGGGTAGGACAGCAGCAGGCGGCTCGGGCTGGTGGGGCGGCTTGGGCGGCTCGGGCGGCTCGGGCGGCTCGGGCGGCTCGGGCGGCTCGGGCGGCTCGGGTACCGGGCGGCTCGGCTGCTGCTGGGCGGCTCGGCTGCTGCTGGGCGGCTCGGCTGCTGCTGGGCGGCTCGGCTGCTGCTGGGCGGCTCGGCTGTTGCTGGGCGGCTCGGCTGCTGCTGGGCGGCTCAGCTGCTGCTGGGCGGCTCGGCTGCGGCTGGGCGGCTCGGCTGCTGCTGGGCGGCTCGGCGGGGCCGTCAGGGTGCAGCTGCGGGGCCGAGACAGGGGACGGCGGGGCCGTCAGGGTGCAGCGGCGGGGCCGGGGCAGGGGACGGCGGGGCCGTCAGGGTGCAGCGGCGGGGCCGGGACAGGGGACGGCGGAGCCGTCAGGTGGCAGGCCAGCAGGCGAGGTGGCGAGCCGTCAGGTGAGGCGGCGGGGCCGTCAGGTCAGGTGGCGGGCCAGCGGGTGAGGCGGCGGGCCGTCAGGTGAGGTGGCAGGCCAGCAGGTCAGGCGGCGGGCCGTCAGGTGAGGCGGCGGGGCCGTCAGGTCAGGTGGCGGGCCAGTAGGTGAGGCGGCGGGCCGTCAGGTGAGGCGGTGGGGCCGTCAGGTAAGGTGGCGGCGGGCCGTCAGGTGAGGCGGCGGGGCCGTCAGGTAAGGTGGCGGGCCAGCAGGTGAGACGGTGGGCCGTCAGGTGAGGCGGGGGGGGGCGTCTGGTGAGGTGGCGGGCCAGAAGTCGAGGCGGCGGGCCGTCAGGTGAGGCGGCGGCCGTCAGGTAAGGCGGCTGCGGGGCCGACAGAGGTGCAGCGGGGGGGGGGGGCCTGCTGCAGCGACGAAGAGGCCGCGCGGCCGTCTTGAGGGCGGCGCGGCGCGGCAGAGCCGAGAGGGCGGCGCGGCGCGGCTGTAAGGGCCGCGCGAAGTGGGGCCTGGGCCGCGCGCGTGAAAAAAAATGAGTCGCGCGCGCGACTCTCGGGGCGCCACAAGGGCAGCTCGACGCGCACTAGGGGGAGCGCGCCTCGGGGAGAATAGGGCGCGCTCCGGGCAGGAAAAAAAAATCGTGGGTGGGCCCAAAGAACGGTCCTTAGGAGGGACCCGCTCTATACCATGTGAAACTAACTCAACAGGAATGAATTGACTAAGTCAGAGTTGGGTACAAATACAACCCTAGCAAACTGTACCCCATAAGTGCTACCCCACTATAGCCTACAAACATGCATCAGCTATAATAATCTGACAAGAGCCACCTCGTTCTCCTCCAGTTCTGTATGTAGACAACAAGGCCGTGCTGGCCTTGTGTCGAGAGCAGCGACTGGAGCATAGAACAAAGCACATTGCTCTTCGCTACTTCCTTGCTCGTGAGCTACAGCAGCGTGGGCAGTTGCGGCTTGCGTACGTGGCCTCTGAGGCCAACACTGCTGATCTCTTCACCAAGGCACTTGCGCCTTGTGATCATCAGCGCTTCTGCACTCAGCTGGGTCTTGTGCCTGTCTTGCCTCACTTGCTCACCTCTTGACCTTGCTTGTACTGTCACATATATATATACCTGCTCTTGCTTGTCTAGCTTTTTATATATGTGTACTCTTGCATGTGAACTGGCCTTGTGGCCTTGACCTTGTGCTCGGACTGTGTGGTGACTTTGAGATCCACCCTGAGCTTGCTTTGCTTTGCTTTGCTTGACTGGTCTTGTGACCCCTTGTTCTCCCCCACTTTGCCTATGGGGGTGTGTCGGAACATTATAGCTTATGCTTTGTGTAGGCTGTAGTGGGGTAGCCCATAAGGGGTACAACCCAATTAGAGTTAGTATTTGTACCCAACTGTTTCATAGTTCATTCATTCTCGTTCTCAATTTCCACAATCAGACCATGGAACAACTCATCCAGGCCATGTGCGACGACCCAAACACGTGGGAATAGCAACTACCACTGATCGAATTCGCATACAACAACGCCCCATCCCTTACGACCCAACAGTCACCGTTTTACCTGAATTACGGACAAGACCCAACAGTACCCCGAATCCCGACAACTCGGTTCCACGCGCGCAACAGTTCGCCGAAATTTTGCAAGTAGCACGGACCAGGGCAGCAGACGCAATTAAAAAAGCTAACATCATCGCTAAACGCAACGCCGACCGCCACCGCAGACCTGTCACTTACCAGCCCGACGACTTAGTTTTGCTCGACACCCAAAATCTCCGACTGCCCATCACCCCGAAACTCCGCCCCTGATACTGCGGGCCATTTCGCATAAGCGACATGCTTACACCTGTCACCGCCCACCTCCTACTCCCTGCTGACTGGTACGTCAGCCCCTTGTTCCACGTCAGCCTTCTTCGCCCTTACGTCCCGTCCACGAGACAACTGCCACGCAATCGCCCAGCCAGCATGACAAGACCACCGACTGAACCAATCATCACCCCCGAAAAAATCCTGAGTCACAGAGTTCGCGACCCTCGAGGAGCCCGAAGGATCGAGTTCTTACTCCGCTGGAAGGACCGTACACCCACCGAAGACAATTGGGTTCCCCTGGACAGAATCGAAAACCACCCCGTCCTCACCGAGTATCTGCGCAGCCGAAATTTCAGGGATGTACACGCACTCTCGTAAGGAGGACCTCCTCAAAGGGGGGGGGTAGTTTAAGGAAAATTCATTTTCCTTACTTCGCATCCCTGCTCAACGCGTACATCACTGTAGCACCACAGTCAGCACCGTTACCACTCGCAACCCTCACATCGACAATCTGCCCGCCATCTTCGCACATCGCACCCCGACCTCACGGCTCGGCGAGTAACCCGCGCTCCGGGCCCCCGCTTCGACACTTTTCCCAACCTCAGTCCCAGGCCTGTCACGCGACAACCACAGTCCATTACCGTTACCACTGTAGTTTCGCTATATATTCTTCGCTCATGCCTTTGCTAATTGTACTCTTGTTTAGATAGTGCAAATCTCGTTCGTTCACTCAATTGCACTCGTAACACTATCCCTGAAAAAACATTAGTGTATGCACGCACGCCCTATGGTCCGACGAAATGGAATGACAGTGCGACACGCTCTCTCACACCACACCTAGCTTAGCTTAGCCCTGCGGATGCTGCCGATGACGTTAGCGCCAAACGGTCAGCGTCGGCAACACAAGTGCGGAATCGCGCACTGAAGTTGCTGCACTCAGGGAGAGAGAGGCGCCCACGCGAAAGAGAGAGGAGATTGAAAGACGACATAGTCGCTACCCGTGTCCTGCGCCTTCCTCTTCCGCCATCCCCGCCGTCACTGGTTCCGCACCCCATGGAGAATCAGCCGCCCTTCGCCAGCAGAGGCACGCCCGCAGCATTTCCGCCGGCGGGACCTGTTTCGTGGGCGCAGGCTGTAGCTGGGGGCGGCGGGGTGACTGGGGGAGGCGTGCAAGCTGCGACTGGGGGAGGCGGATCTGCGCCCAGCATCGTATGGGGGGGAGGCGGAAGGTCGCAGCCCGCGAGCAATTTAAAGTGCGTTCCCTCTGTTGGAACATCTTGTCTTCGTCGCCTCGCTGTCGCCGCCGCGCTGTAGCCTCGTCGTTGCGTCGTCATCGTTCGCGCTGTCGTCTCGTCGTGTCACCACCCAGTGCTCGCCCGCCTTTCCAGTGCCCTCTGCGAGGTGACTTTTGAGTCGACTCAAGAAGTCACCTCTTCGCGTCACCACCCAGTACCCGCCCCCGCCTTTTCAGTGCTCGCCCGCCTTTCCAGTGCTCGCCCGCCTTTCCAGTGCCCCCTGCGCATCGTCCTCTCGCACGTGCGCCCCTCGGAACCACCTTTTCGTCCCCCGAGTTCGGCTTATCCACCGCTTTGCCCGGCCGTTCCCTGCTGCCTCCTCTTTCGCTCCTCCCCCTCGTGCTCCCCATTCCCCAACTCCCGTGCCTTCGCCCACAACCCCCCTCCTGCCCACAACCCCCCTCCTGCCCACAACCCCCCTCCTGCCCACAACCCCCCTCCTGCCCACAACCCCCCTCCTGCCCACAACCCCCCTCCTGCCCACAACCCCCCTCCTGCCCACAACCCCCCTCCTGCCCACAACCCCCCTCCTGCCCACAACCCCCCTCCTGCCCACAACCCCCCTCCTGCCCACAACCCCCCTCCTGCCCACAACCCCCCTCCTGCCCACAACCCCCCTCCTGCCCACAACCCCCCTCCTGCCCACAACCCCCCTCCTGCCCACAACCCCCCTCCTGCCCACAACCCCCCTCCTGCCCACAACCCCCCTCCTGCCCACAACCCCCCTCCTGCCCACAACCCCCCTCCTGCCCACAACCCCCCTCCTGCCCACAACCCCCCTCCTGCCCAAACCCTTCCACCTCTACTCCAAACACTTCCTCTCCCCCTTCCTCTCCCCCTTCCGCTCCCCCTTCCTCTCCCCCTCCCCTCCCGCCCCCTCCACCTACCCCCACAGTTCACCAGCTGATTTTCCCGCGCTGACTTCAGCAAACCGGTCCCCATCGCCGCCACTCCCCAGATCCGCGCAGCAGTCCCCCTCCCCCCCGCGTGCGCGCCCTCCCGGTGGCGCCTCCGCCAGCCTGCTGGGCGACGCTGCTGCGCTGGCGCGGCGCAGAGCGAGGTTTGGGGAGGTGGCGCCGGGAGATGGCGCGGAGGAGGGCGCTGGGGGCGCGGGGAAGGATGGGGGGAAGGGCGGGGAAGGGGGAGAAGATTTGGGAGGGGGACGAGGGGGAGGACGGGGAGGAGGGGGAGGAATGGGGATGGTTGCGGGCGGGGGAGGGGCCACAGAGGAGGGGGAGGGGGGAGGCGACGAGGCGGACTGGCAGCTGGCAGAGGCCGTTGTGGGAACATGCCCTGACATGTGCCCTGGTGTGTATGTGTCTGCTTGCGCTGGCATGCATGCATGCAGGTTGGTAGGTTGGTGTGTATGTCGGTAGGATCATCTTGAATGTTTCTTTCGCACGTGGGTGGGACTGGGAAGTGGAACCATATCTCTGCTCTGCATGTGTTCTCTTCTCACACTCACCACAGCACAGCAACACATGTGCTCCTAGTAAACCACCCCCTCCTTCCTTTTCCGCCTTCCCTCCTTCCCCCCATCGTTTCTATCCTGCACTCCTTTCCTCCCCTCTCCCCACCTGCCCTCTCCCCCTCCCCCTCTCCACCCCCTTCTCCCCTCCTCTCGTCTCAGCCTCTCCCAACTCCCCCCCCCTTCACATCGTCTTCCCCTTCCCTCCTCATCGTCTCTCCTTCTCCACTCTCCATCCCTCCTCCTTCCTCGCCCTCCCCCACCAGCGCACGAGAGGGAGGTAAGGGAGCGCAGCGGCGCGCTGGACGTGTTTGAGCGCGTCAACGGGGACCGCAGCAGAACCAGTGTGCAGCTGGCCATCAAGAAGGTGGGGTGTGCGTGCAGTGTGAGAGGGGATGTGGTGTGAGGGGATGTGCTGTGAGGGGACCGCAGCAGGACGAGCATGCAGGACGAGCATGCAGCTGGCGATTAAGCAGGTGAGGTGTGTGTAATGGATGTGGTGAGTTAGAAAGGGGGAAAGGGGGAAAGGGGGAAAGGGGGGGGGGAAGACTTTGTCAATGGCGACAGCAGCAAGACGAGTGTGCAGCTGTTGGTGAAGAAGATGAGATGTGTGAGAGGGAAAGCGGAGAGGGAGAGAACAGCCGTGAGGGAAGATAGGAAGGTTCTTTCTGCCACCTCCTTCTCCTCAGTTGTTCATGCCTCCGCCGTAGACATGAGCAACTGACCGAGTCGAGTAAAACTCGACTCGGTCTGGCTCGAGCCCCGACCGAGTTCGAGCTTGAGTCGGGGGAAACTCGACCGAGTTTTTTTCTCATGATGCTGGACTCGAGACTCGGCCAAATAGGGCCCAAGTGTTAAAAAACTCGACGGGCTTTTCTCTTACACTCGGTCGAGCCGAGTAAAACTCGGCTCGGGGGGGGGGGGGGAGGAGGGGGGGGGGCCGGCGGGGGCTGTGGAAACACCAAATTTTTTTGTATAAAGGTTCTTACTCACCCCTTGCTTAAATTTGGCCATCATAAATAAACCAGATCTACCGTTCAATAGGTGCGATTCCGCCTCAGGAAACCCTAATCGGAAAAATGCACATGAGAAAAACGCGACATTAACAAACTATAAACTGAGAGATCTACAATTTCCTAGACCTAACTTAAGTTTAAGATGAAAAACCAGCCACGATTTTGGCTGTCTAGGCTCAAGTTTCCACTTACGAAGGGCTTAGGAAGAGGACTAACTGAAATCGCGATCTAAAAAGAACCCCGCCAAAGTGAAATTCTTACAATTTGTCCTTGCTGCCAATGTCGCGACCGAGTTTTTCGTAAACTCGCTCGAGCCTCAAAAGCTCGTCGAGTCTGCAAAAAACTCGATGTGGGGCCGAGCTTTCACCGAGCTTTTTTTAAACTCGACGGGTAAAACTCGACTCGACTCGGTCCAGTTTTTTCAGAGGATTCGCGGACTCGACACTCGACCCGTGTCGAGTCCCCCGATCGAGTCGAGTCGAGAAACTCGACTCAGTGCACATGTCTACTCCGCCGTCTTATTTCCCGCTCCCAGTATTCCGCATCCACTCAATCCAAAGCCATTCCGCCCATTCCCATCCACCTTGTCCCGTCCCGCCCCCCTTCCCCCTCCCTCAGTATCTGGCGCCCACAACATGGCTCCTTCTTTCATCCTCCCACTCACTGTGCTGCATAACACTCTGAGGCACCTTCTATCTATCCCCTCCTTCTCCCCCATTCACCTCCCCTCGTTCCCCAATTACCCCTCTCTCTTTCCCTCCCCCCAATTCCCCCTCCCCCCCCCCCCCCCCCCCCCCAGTATTCCCGCGCGCCCAACATGGACCCCTCGTTCATCCGCCCCATGCCCGTTCTCCACACCACCATGGCGCACATGCTCTCCCTGCTGCACCTCCCCTTCCCCCCCCCGCCCTCCGCGACCAAGGGGGGCGCGGAGGAGGGGGAGATGGAGGGGGAAGGCGGGGGGGAGGAAGCAGGGGGCGCGGGGGGGCCGGGGATGCGGCTGCTGCTGCTGCACTCGTTCCTGTGGGATCGCATGAGGGCTGTTCGCGCTGACCTGCGCATGCAGCACCTGTTTGGGCGCGAGGCGATTAACATGCACGAGCAGATGGTGAGGCATGGTGCTGTCTGCGCTATGAAGGGGAAAAAAAAATGTTGCATAAAAAGGGGAAGCCATGAGAGTGTCGTTCCACTCAGTGGCGATGAGATGGCACCTCCAAGCCACGCAGTAGTATGTTGTTGTTCCTCCCCCGATTGGCGCTTGGTTCCATCCATCCCATCCCATCCCATCCCATCCCATCCCATCCATCCCATCCCATCCATCCCATCCCATCCCATCCCATCCCATCCCATCCATCCCATCCCATCCCATCCCATCCCATCCATCCCATCCCATCCCATCCCATCCCATCCCATCCCATCCCATCCCATCCCATCCCATCCCATCCCATCCCATCCATCCATCCCATCCCATCCCATCCCATCCCATCCCATCCCATCCCATCCCATCCCATCCCATCCCATCCCATCCCATCCCATCCCATCCCATCCCATCCCATCCCATCCATCCCATCCCATCCCATCCCATCCCATCCCATCCCATCCCATCCCATCCCATCCCATCCCATCCATCCCATCCCATCCCATCCCATCCCATCCCATCCCATCCCATCCCATCCCATCCCATCCCATCCCATCCCATCCCATCCCATCCCATCCCATCCCATCCCATCCCATCCCATCCTCCATCCCATCCATCCCATCCCATCCCATCCCATCCCATCCCATCCCATCCCATCCCATCCCATCCCATCCCATCCCATCCCATCCCATCCCATCCCATCCCATCCCATCCCATCCCATCCCATCCCATCCATCCCATCCATCCCATCCCATCCCATCCCATCCCATCCCATCCCATCCCATCCATCCCATCCCATCCCATCCCATCCCATCCCATCCCATCCATCCATCCCATCCCATCCCATCCCATCCCATCCCATCCCATCCCATCCCATCCCATCCATCCCATCCCATCCCATCCATCCCATCCCATCCCATCCCATCCCATCCCATCCCATCCCATCCCATCCCATCCATCCCATCCCATCCCATCCCATCCCATCCCATCCAATGACATCCCATCCCATCCCATCCCATCCCATCCATCCCATCCCATCCCATCCCATCCCATCCCATCCCATCCCATCCCATCCCATCCCATCCCATCCCATCCATCCCATCCCATCCCATCCCATCCCATCCCATCCCATCCCATCCCATCCCATCCCATCCCATCCCATCCATCCCATCCCATCCCATCCCATCCCATCCCATCCATCCCATCCCATCCCATCCCATCCCATCCCATCCCATCCCATCCCATCCCATCCCATCCCATCCCATCCCATCCCATCCCATCCCATCCCATCCCATCCCATCCCATCCCATCCCATCCCAATCCCATCCCATCCCATCCCATCCCATCCCATCCCATCCCATCCCATCCCATCCCATCCCATCCCATCCCATCCCATCCCATCCCATCCCATCCCATCCCATCCCATCCCATCCCATCCATCCCATCCCATCCAATCCCATCCCATCCCATCCCATCCCATCCCATCCCATCCCATCCCATCCCATCCCATCCCATCCCATCCCATCCCATCCCATCCCATCCCATCCCATCCCATCCCATCCCATCCCATCCCATCCCATCCCATCCCATCCCATCCCATCCCATCCCATCCCATCCCATCCCATCCCATCCCATCCCATCCCATCCCATCCCATCCCATCCATCCCATCCCATCCATCCCATCCCATCCCATCCCCATCCCATCCCATCCATCCCATCCCATCCCATCCCATCCAATCCCATCCCATCCCATCCCATCCCATCCCATCCATCCCATCCCATCCCATCCCATCCCATCCAATCCCATCCCATCCCATCCAATCCCTCCCATCCCATCCCATCCATCCCATCCCATCCAATCCCATCCCATCCCATCCCATCCCATCCCATCCCATCCCATCCCATCCCATCCATCCAATCCCATCAGTTCAGATCCGTGCTCATCCCATCCCATCCCATCCCATCCCATCCCATCCCATCCCATCCCATCCCATCCCATTGACTGTTGAGAATGGGAGTCAAAAGTCACCCCAATTGGAGCTCGGTTCCATCCCATCCCATTGCTTCCTCTTGCCCACGCCTTACTTCCTCCTCCCTCTCTCTCCCAACCCGAGCTGCGCTTCCACTTTGTGGTCACACACGGGCCCTTGCCATCCTTGACTTCCCTATTCGCACATCTCCTCCCTCCCTCCCCCTCTTCCTTGTTTCACCCCCCAGGTGCGGTTCCACATAGTGGCGATGCACGAGCTGTGCGAGTACCCCAAGGGCGAGGGATTCAGCGACGGCTTTGACGCGCACCTGAACATCGAGCAGATGAACAAGGCGTGCGTCGACCTCTTCCACATGTACCACGACCGCCGCAGCGACCTCGAGCACGCACAAGCGATGGCGAGCGAGGGCGGGGAGGAGGGGGAGGTGGGGGAGTTGCAGGCGTGTTTGGCGCAGGAGGGGGAGCTGAGGGGGTACTACCTGCTGCTCAAGATCGACCGCCATCCGGGGTTCAATGTGAGTCGCATGTACAGTGGCTGGCTGGCTGGGGTTGTGAGCTTGTGATGCTGCATCGTGATGACAGTGTCTGTGGCAGCACAAGGCAGAGCTGAGGGGGTACTACCTGCTGCTTAAGATCGACCGGCTTCCGGGGTTCAATGTGAGTCCGTCAGTAGATGGGGGGACAATGAGCTTTTGATGACCATTGCATTTGTAAACACGGGTTGCTGCGAAGTGCGATTCGTTGGGTGTATGAGAGCATGAGCCGAGATTGATAGCGCATGTTGCCTGAACATGAGTTGAGATGGATGGGTGACGCTTGTTGCCTGCACATTACCCCCCCAGATGGATAGGGCGGACATACCAGATGGATAGAGCGGACATACCAGATGGATAGGGCGGACATACCAGATGGATAGGGGGGACATACCAGATGGATAGGGCGGACATACCAGATGGATAGGGGGGACATACCAGATGGATAGAGCTCCTTTGATTTGTGCTACATGCCGAAGTGACTCTAGTGCACGGTGGTGTGACTGTGACTGTGACTGTGATTGTGACTGTGACTGTAACAGGTTGAGCCGGCGGAGTTTGCGAGGGAGCTCTCTCTCCTCCCCCACATCGTCAGGAGCAGCCCTCAAGTCGTCTTTGCTCGCTCCGTTGCAAGGTGGGTTCGTTACGAACATTCCAAATGCTCTGGGGGCTGGTTGCATGTTATAATAGCACATGGAGCAGCCGGTCAGCTAACCTGGAAGTTCTGTCTGCGACGCGCCCGTTACCCCTTCACTGCCTTGCGTGCTAGCCAGCCGCAAACCTCTGTAGTGCTACACTCACACGTTGAGGGATCCCCTCTATGGGGTTGTTACCAATTGAGGCAATGTCGTAGTTCTATTGCTCATGCCAACGGGCATGTCTCCATCTACCAGCCTTCTCCGCTTGGCGCCTACCTCGATGCTCATTTTGTTTCTTTGTCTCTTGTCTCTGCTTCGCGCGCTCTCGCTTTTCACCTTCACCTTCTCTCCCCTTCCTCCCCTTCCTCCCCTTCCTCCCCTTCCTCCCCTTCCTCCCCTTCCTCCCCTTCCTCCCCTTCCTCCCCTTCCTCCTCTTCATCCCCTGACTCCCCCCCCTCCCCTTCCTCCTCTTCCTCCCCTTCCCCCCCCTCCTCCCCCACCTCCCCTTCCTCCACGTCCTCCCCGTCCTCCTCTCTCCTCCATCCATCCACCCCTCTCAGGGCGTGTCGAACGCACAACTTTGTGGCCTTCTTCCGCTTGGCTCGCCAGGCCACGTACCTGCAGGCGTGCCTCATGCACGCGCACTTCAGCAAGGTCCGAGCAAAGCTGCAGCGCTGCGGGCTCACTCATTGGATGGCGTTCAATCATTACATTGATATCATGGACTTCACTGGATGCTCATTGCATGCCCTTGACAATTACGCCTCTCTGAAAGCTCTCTGATTGCTCCACCAACCAAACCCATCCAGAGGTGCACTCCCTCTCCCTCCCAATGCACATCCCTCGTTCAGAGGTGTGTGACGTGTCACCCTCTCTTTCTCATGCGCACATCGCCCCTCCCTTTCCCCGCGCCCCCGTCGCAGATGCGTGCCAGAGCGCTGGCAGCGGTGTATGCATCCATTGCCAAGGGCCAGCACCTGCCAGCCCTCACACTCGCGCACTGGCTCGGCATGGAGGTACGGACGGCAGGCCCGGCATGGAGGTACGAGCTGCTGGCTTGGCATGAAGGTATGGTCTGCAGGCTCGGCAAATGGTCTGCAGGTTCGGCATGGAGGTACGGGCTTCACTTTGCTCCTTAGCTTTGTTTTATGTCTTTCTCTTTTCGCTTTCCCACCTTGCTCCTGTTCACCCCGTGTCTTCTCCTCTCTCTTTTCTCCTCTCTCCGGCTCTCCCTTCCTCTTCCCTCCTCTCCCCTCCCTCTTTTTCCTCCTCCTAAATTCGCACCAGCAAAGGCCAGAAAAGCTGCAGGCGCTGGTGGAGCACATGGCTTGGGAGGGAAGCTGCAAACAATCACTCACTTCCCCTCCTTTCCCCTCTCTCCCTCATTCTCCTCCAACTCTCGCCTTTTTCCTCCCCACCAATCCTCCCTGCACCAGCAAGAGCCAGAGAAGCTGCAGGCGCTGGTGGAGCACCACGGCTTGGCGCTGCACCCTTCAGACGCCCCTCCAGATGCCACCTTCCCAGATACAGCCTCCCCCGCAGCCGCCCTGCTGGCCGGGAGCTGCCTGGTGAAGGGTGCACCCTTGGTGCAGGCTGGGACGCCCATGCCTCCCTCCTCGTCTGCCCTTGTGCGCAGCAAGCAGAGCCGGTTTATTGATGATGTCATTGCTGAGGTCAGCAGTGGGGCGGGAGGAGGGGAGGAGACGGGTGGCGGGCAGGTGGAGAGGCAGCAGCGGGCAGAGGAGCAGCGGAGAAGACAGGAAGCGTGGCTGCAGAAGCAGCAGCAGCAACGACTGCAGCAGCAGCAGTTGCAGCAGCAGAAACTGATGATGGAGCAGAGGCAAAGGGAAGAGCAGATTAAGGCAATGGAAGAGAAGCAGAGGGTGTTAGAGAGGGAGATGGAGCGAGAGAGGGAGCGAGTGAGGGAGCTTGAGAGGAGGGCTGCACTCCAGGCACAGGTGAAGAGGCAGGAGGAGGAGAGGAAGGCGAGGGAAGAGGAGGAGAGGCAGCAGAGGGAGGCAGAAGCAGCGGAGAGGGAAAGGAGGGAAAAGGAGAGGGAGGAGCAGGTGAGGCAAGAGAGAAGAAGGAAAGAGATGGAAATGAGGGAGAGGATTCTGAAGGAGAGAGCGAGGGTGGAGAGGGAGAAGAGGGAAGCGGAGCAGAGGGAGAGGGAGAGGCAGGAGAGCACGAAGAGAGAGCAAGAGAGAAAGGAGCAGGAGAGGAGGCAGCAGGAGGAGGAGGAGGAGAGGCAGAGGAGGGCTAGGGAGGAGGAGGAGAGGGAGCGGGCAGCGTTGGAAGAGGCGGGGCGGAAGGCGAGGGGTGTGTGGCTGCGGCGCGTTGTGAGGAGGTGGAGGCAGAATGCTGCTCAGATGGGGCAGCTGAGACGGCTGCGCCAGCTGGCAGTCAGTGATTGGCAGCTGGAGGGCTCGATTGTTTCGCAGCCGACTGTGGTGGCATCCAAGGTAATATGTGCTGTGCTGCGCTGCGCTGCGCTGTGCTGTGCTGTGCTGTGCTGTGCTGTGCTGTTCTGTACTGTGCTGCGCTGTGCGGTACTGTGGTGTGCTGTGCTGTGCTGTGCTGTGCTGTGCGGTACTGTGCTGTGCTGTTCTGGTGGTGCTCCTATGGGCGAGCAGTTTTTCTATCACTCTCAAAAGCACCTAGTGAGTCCACCAAGGTAGTGTGTGTGCGTTGCTGGTGGTGCTGTGGGCGAGGCACAGGTGCGGCTGTGAACGATGCACACTAACACTCTTGTTCTGAGCACCCACTCGTGGCTGCTAAGAATCCACATGCGGGACACTGAAAGGGCTCCTCTTGCTTCTCCCCTGCCACACTTCATGTTCCCCCAGTCCCCCACTCTCTCTGTGCTGCCCTCCCTCCTGCCACCCCAGCAAGCCCCGCACAAGCGGTTGCGGGGAGCAGCAACATGGGGAGCCCCGGCACTGGGCAGGGCAAGCGCCGAGCGTGGGGTTGGTACAGCAGGTAGCCGGCGTGGCGTAGCAGCACCCAGTGCCGATGGCCCCAGGTTCCTGCATCCATCTGCTTTATGGGGGAAAGCCGGCTTCGCTGCTCCCACTGCCTTTGGTGCGCCGTGTCCCCTGGACGTGGCACGGCTGGTGGGCGGTAGGCTTGCGGGCAGACAAGTGCCATCCAGCAGCGCTGGGCCGCTGCTGGGTGTGCGCCGAGTGGTTTCGTGGAAGCTTCTTGTGTGCTGGCCAGAGCGCGAGTCACAGGTGTGTTCATTCGCGTGGAATGGTCTTGTCATACCGATGTGGAACGAAGCAATCGTGTCGACGTGGTGCCATCCATCATTGCTGCCTTCTGTCGACGTGGTGCCATCCATCATAGCTGCCTTGTGCCTCCAGGCCTCCCCATCATGCAGTGCAAACAATTGTTAACATCTCTCACACTACCGTGCATGCCTCATGCTACATCTTCATGTGTCGCCCTCCTCTATCTCCCAGTTAAGCTCTTCTGGCATGCTGAACTTTGTGTGTGCCCTGCCATACCCGTGGAAATCTATCACTCCATCCCATTCCAACTCACTCCACCCCATTCCACCCCACTCCATCCTAATCCATCCCAACCGAACCATGCACAAAGGCATGTCTCTCCAACTACCTCGCGTGCCTTTCCCATGGCAAATCCATGTGCTGCAGGACACGCCATCACCACTCCGTCACGCCACACACTGGCTCTGCAGCACCCTCTCTGCCCCCTCCCACGCCCTCAACGCCCTCCAACACCACACAGAACCGCACACCATACCTCACAGCAGTGCAGCAACCGCCCCGGTCCCCAACCCAGAGAATGCCCCCACATCTGCCTCGCAGCCCACTGACCCCTCATTGCTCGCCTGTTACGTGGCTCCCATGCCACACCGTACTGCAGCAGGGGAGGCAGCACCCAAGCTGCCAGGTGGTGCATCAGGTGCTGCTTCAGGTGAAATCACGCGAGCAGGAGGAGCAGGGTCAGAATCCGACTCGCTTTTCTGGCTCGTGGTGAGGAGGGTCTCGGCAGAAGCGCAGGGAGGGGATGGTGGAAGGTTCCTGGAAGGAGCCCAGGCGATGGTGTGTGTTGTGGACGGCAGCAGCAATGCAGGGCCCCAGGTGCAGCGCATCAACCAGGCCCTGGCGTCGCTCCCTACCTCCCTCCCTCCCATCCCCCTGCTGCTCCTCGTCCTGCCTCCCCACCCGCCACCACCATCATCAGCAGCAGCAGCAGCAGCAGCAGCATCCATGTCTCTCTGCACAGGCCCCTGTGCCCCTGTGCCCGTTCCCTCCTCCTTCGCCTCCCTCACCCTCTCCCACTTCCAACCCCCCTCCACCCGTCCACCACCCTCTCGTTCCTCCCCTCCAGCCCCGCGCCTCTCTGCTCTCCGCATCCTCCCTCTTGGCCGATCTACTCCCCCTCAACCTGATGACCTGGCTTCTCCTGATTGGCCTGCCAAGATTGCCCTGACAAGTGGCCTGCGGTGGTTGGCCGATTCCTCCCCTCTGCCACCTCAGCTTGCTCCAATCCCCCTCCGCGATCTCGTGCTGCGCCACCTGTCACCACGTGTCACGCGGCTATTGGTCGTGGACCCCTCACTGGTGCGGCCACAGGAGTGCATCACTGAGTTCAACGCCAGCCTGGACAGCGCGGCCAGTGACGTTGCGACAGCTGTCGCGGCCTCACCCCCTGGCAGTGGAACCCCTCTGCCTGAACTGCCTGCTTTGCTGCAGCTGATGGGTGGACGTAAGGGTCGGAGACAAAGGGAGCTCAGCGGAGAAAGCGGGGGCAGTGAAATGGGAGAGAGCAGAAGCAAGGCGGGCAGTGCAGCTTCAGAGGCACCTGGTAGACTAGAGGTCTCTCTGCTATCCGCCTGTCTGCCTCCTATTGACTGGAACAGCCCTTCTCGCACCTCCCGCCTTACCACTGCCCTCTCCTCTCTCCGCCTACCCCACTTCCCCGCCCTCCACCTCTCCTCCCCTCAGCAACCCTCCCTCACCTCCCCCTCCTCATCTCCTTCACCCACCCTCTCTCTGCCGCCCCACCTGTCCTCTCTAGGCCCCCAGCTGCACCCCCAGCTGGCCCCGCTCTCGACCGCACTCAACTCCTTCCTTCGCCTGGTGCAGGGCGATCAGACCTCCCCAGTGCTTCTGGCGCAACAACTGCTGGCAGAGGGGTGTGGAGTGGTGTGGAGGAGTGGGGCGGAGCAAGGTCAGCCCGGGGAGCAAGGAGGGGCGCAAGGGGGTGCGGGGAGTGCGAGGAGTGCAGGGAGGTTGTGTGCGGTGCCAGTGTGGCCGCGCATTCTTCTCCCTGTGTTGATGCGTCGCCTGGATGCTCTCTTTTCAGACCCTCCCCTCACCGCCTTTGTCCTCGCACCCTCTGCTCCTCCTGCTGCTCACGCTGCTCCTCATGCTGCTGCTCTCGCCTCCCTTGCTCCCTTGAGCCAATCCACTGCTGTGGTGCCAGCAGCTATGGCAGTGGAAGGGGGTGTAGAGGTTGGAGCCAGTGCGGTGGAAAGTGGTGCAGTGGGGTTGGGCAGCATGCTGCCTGTGAGTGCGCTGACGAGGCAGGAAGGTCTCGTTGGGACGGGTATGGCAAGGGAGCTCATCAGAACCAGTGGCAGTGCGTGGGTGGGTGGTGCTGCTGCAGCGAGCGCAGCAAGCGAGGGTGTGATGGACGACAATTCAGAGGAAGACGGGGGGAATGAGGTGGTGTCATCAGCAGAGCTCCCCCCTTTGCTTGCAGCCCCAGCACCTCCTTCCTTGCCATACTGGATTGAGCCATATCAATCTTACGTTAGCAGCAAAGCATGGCATGCAAGCAGTGTGCCTATACCCGGTCTCCCCACGTCCATCAGCCTTCTCCGCTCCTCCGCCCCTTCCTACGCTGCCGCGGCTGCTTTGGCCCCTCGCACCTCTCTCCTACCATCCCGACCCACCCCCTCCCCTTCACCCTCCCCTCCCCCTCCTCTGTTGCAGCTTCCTCATCCATCCACCCAGGCTGCTCACATCAACCAACCGCCCCCACACTCCCAACTGCTTCCAGCCCCACACCACGTGCCCCTTTCTCTCTCCCGCACCAATCACGAGCTCTCTGGCCCCATCCTGCCTGTGCCATCCCACAGCCAATCACAACACAGCCTTGCCCGTCATCCACCACTTCCTCTTTACAAGCCCGGCTCGGGCTCTGTTTATAAGGCTGCCACTCAGCACGGGTGGGAGCGTGGAATCCAAGTGAAGCGAAAGGCACCGGCAAATGCATGGAGTGATGGGTATGGCGGTGGTGGGCGTGTGGGCCGTGGGAGTGGGAGAGAGGGTGATGAAAGAGGAGAGGGTGAGGAGAGGGGAGGCGTGGAAAGAAAAGGAATTGAGAGAGGATGGGTGGAGAGCGAAGGGAAAGGGAGAGCGGAGCATTGGTTCGGCCCAGGAGGCAGGAGGCAGCAGCTGAGGCTGGCAGAGGCTGATGGTCTGGTAGCCAATGAGATGCTGCCACGTGGCATTGTGCGAGCTGCTGACGTGGCTGCTGCAAGTGGTGCTGGTGAGGTTTTTCCACCGGCTGAAGAAGCGGCCAGATTGGGCAGCCGAGTTGGTGATGCGGGTGATAGGCATGCAAGCGGCATTGCTGTGGGTCTCAGTGCTGGTGGTGGTGATCCGGCACAAGGGTTGCTCAGCGCAGGCGCAAACGAGCGAAGAGTGAGAGCGATGGTGGAGGAACTGATGAAAAGGAGACAGGTGACAGCATGAACAATGTGGGCATGTACATGAAGCAGACTACGGTACATTGCACTGCTACTTTCTAATGCTGTTCCTGTACTACTAGTTTAAAACAGGGCCCACCCAGAGGTTAGGGGCCTAACCTTCAAGAGGGGGGAAAGGGCCATGCATTGTACCTGCATGATGTTACCTTACGTGAATTCAGCCATGCCACTGTCTGGCCTCCGTCACATGCACACCAGAGTATACAGTGGCCTCTGCATTGTACTGGTTATGTTACAACCATTTATTTTTTCATGTCAAGCCTAAAGGAGCGAGCCCATCCCCATAAACTCCACGCAATATTATATCAGCTAGAAGCTCCACCCACATATCTGTCGGACCGGGCGTGCAATAGTGAAGGCAGTCTAGGATCCCCCTCTCTTCCACAAAGCCTTTGTGCGAGTCGGGTCGCAGCGAGGTGGCAGTATCCACATCCATGTACACTGCTCCCACCTCATGCATCATGCCTCGCACCAGCTTGTTCTGCCGAGTAAACATGTCCCAGTGGAACGGTAGAATCTCCGGATTTTGGCGCTTTTTAATCGGCCCAATGTAGGTGGTGCAGTTGGCGTGGCCGGGGGGGGTGTTCCTCCAGATGATGAGCGCGTCGGGCAGCTTCTTGCGGAGAAATGACAACGCAGCCGGCACACTCCTCTCGAAGTCCTTCCCTCCAATGAAGTGCGCGCCTCGATTCACCACCACCACATGAGCATCGTTCAACCCAGAGTACAAGTGCCATGGAATGTGGTCAAACTTGGCTTCTCCAGGCGAAGTGAACCACAGATGGTCGTTCCGCACGAATTGAACCTTGAGGCCGGGACAAACACTCTCGTTAAACGTGTACACTCGGCAGTAGGCATGCCTTGGGGGCTCCACCAGCCAATCAGAGCACTCCTGGGGAATCGTTTCATTCACAGCCCACACGGCAGGTTTGGGAATGTGTCTGAGGAGGCCGTTGAGGAAGCTGACAACCATCTGGTGCGCCAACGAATCCCCCAGAAACACCAAATTCAGCCCGCCTTTCCGCCCCTCCGCCTTCCGGCAAAACGTATCCCCGTCAAACTGCCTCAGCAGGCCGATCGGGCACTTCCCGGGCGGCGTTCTCCACTCGTATTTGAGCGACTCGCGCACGCTCCAGCCGCCCGACGCGCCGCCCTCCATCACATACTTGTCGGCTTTTTTCGTCACGAGTCCCCCGGTGGTCTCCTGGTGCCGGTGGTCGCACAGGTTCATGGTTCCGAGGTACTCCCAAGGGAGGATGCGCGGCGTTGCGTTGTACGCCCATCGCCCGCGCTGACTCACGCACCGCAGCCAGCGCCGGAAGCGGGCGGCGGACTGCAGAGATTGGATCTGCGTGCCGGGAATGAGCGGCTGCTTACTGGTGGATGCCTGCGCCAGCTGCGCGGCTCTCATTCGCCGGTCGGCGGCTGTCAGAACTGCCTCCTCTACCACTTTCTCATCCGCCGTTAATGCCTTGCCCACCACTCGAGCCAGAAACATCGCTGCTGCCTCCACTGCCCCGCTCCTCCACTCCACCACACCCTTTCCTGCACCCTCCTCTGCCCCTTTTCCTCTTCCCCCACCTGCCGCTCCTTCCACGAAGCTTCCTCGGATCACGCGGTGGTGAATCTGGCAGGCGGCTGCCAGGCTGGCGACTGAGTCAGCGATGACCGCATCCACCTCAGCGGGCGGCGGGCGGAGCTCCAGCAGGGCAGCGCGGGGCGGCAGAAACGCAAGGTTGACAAGAAACGGGCTCGTGACGCTGACAAGCAGCGCCGCCCGGGGAAACAGATCCCGAGCATCATCCCTTTGGAACCTGCCCACCAGCCTCACATGCTCCGCGCCAAACCTGCCCTTCAGCCCCGCCACTATCCCGGCAAAGCCCTTCACCTGCACTGCTGCTGGTGGCTCCAGCACTATCACCTCCTTCACCCCACTCGTCTCCCAGGGGGGTATGGCGGCGGGGGGGGAGTGCGTCTTGGGGGAGGAGGGGGGGAGGCGCTCGGACCAGTCAGGGTTGAGGAGGGGGAGACCGCGGGGCTGCAGGAAGTGCGAGGAGCGGAGCTTGGACCAGAGGGAGGGGCTGGGGTGCTGACAGTGCTGGAAGGTGGGCTGCACAGCACAGGGGGGACAGGGGTAGGGGAAAGAGCTAAGTTGGAAAAAACGCAAGTTTGACGTTGCGTATTGAGTTTATACGCATCTAAAATTCGTACGCTGCGTATTTTTCTAAAATTCGCCAAATTTCTCTCGGGCTGACCGGGAAAAAAAAAATCAGTTGTGTTCGCGAGTATCGGAATTCAGATTTGAGATCGCGAATTGCAAATGCAACCTCAGATCTGAATTTCGAAACCGTTTGGTGAATCGTCCCCTCCTATCAACCGCTCAACAACCCATTCCATCCAACCACATCGATTACTTCCAATTTTGTTGCCAACTTCAACCAGACTCATCCTCCCCGCTCAATGTCAGGCCGTTTTTCCCTTCGATCCCCTTCTAATTTCACTTGCGACGATAACCTACTACAGCAGCTCCCGTTCCCGTCTCTTGACCTAGCATCTTAACCTGCCCGGGAAAAGAATTTAGCTGCCCGGGCAAGCGTTTTTCTGTGCGTACCAGACCCCCTCCGGCTAGCGTACTGCGTATAAACTCTAGCGTTTATACGGAAAGCGTACTAAACGCGAAACGCGTTTTTTCCAACATAGGGAAAGAGCAAGGGGAGAGGGGTTTCAGGAAAGTGGGAGGAGCGGAGTGGGGGTGCTGGCGGTGCTGGCAGGTGGGCTGTGGGCGAGGTGGGCGAGGGGTGCAAAATACGGGGGAAGAGGAGAGGAGGGGCCGAGGGGTTGTTGTAGGAAGTGTGAGGAGGGAATTTGGTCGAGGGGTGGGGGTGCTGGCGGTTCTGGAAGGGGGAGACTGGTTGGGGAAAGTGGGGAGACATGTCTTGATTGAGATGCCTCAGAACGAGGGGTTGGGTTGCTGGTACTGCTGGGAGGTGGGCGTGGGATGGGGGATGAGGCGTTTTGTAAAGCACGTTTGTTGTTGGCGCCTCAGAAGTGGGAGTTTGGTCCACAGGGAGGGGCTGGGGTGCTGGCAGCGCGGGAAGGTGGGTCAAGAATGCGGGAGTGGTGGAAGGTGGGTCAAGAATGCGGGAGTGGTGGAAGGTGGGTCAAGAATGCGGGAGTGGTGGAAGGTGGGTAAACAGACCAGAGTGGGGAAAGGGAGAAGATTCGATTGACGATGCTTCTGGGATGTTAGAAGTGAAGAAAATTGGGGTGGCGGACGGGAGGGGGGAGAAAGAGGGGAGGAGGGGTGTGAAATGAGGGAAGACACGTTTGGATGTGTGAGTGGGCCATGTGCGCATGTGCTTGCAGGTGTGGCGTGGGGATGCACCTGGATGAGAGTTCGCACGAAGAGGAAAAACTGCATGTGGTTGCAGGTGTGGTGCGGTGTGGTGTGGGGATGGTCATGGGCGCACCTGGATGAGTGTCCGCACGAAGAGGAGGCGAGCGGCATCCCCAAAGGAGAGCATGCGACCCATGGTGATGCCCACCACTCGAGGCAGCTGAGAGGGACAGCATCACATGCCACGTCACATGCCACGTCACATGCCACGTCACATGCCATGTCACATGCCAACCATGTTGCAGAGATGAGCACACCATGCCACGTGCCATGTAATGCCACCACAGCCCATGCATGTCAATCCATTCATTCCATACGATTCAGACGACATGGCAAAGGAGAAAAGGGAGAAGAAAGCCACCTGCGTCCAACGAGCAATATGAGCTCCTGGTGCTCTCACGGGTTGGCTTTTCAGCCTGTGGGTTAACACTCGGCAATGGAATCGGCAGCACCACACCCCCAGCATACGCACCTATGATGGATTTGACTCCAAAAACTGAAAACGTCAAGGGTCAAATCCGTTTTGACGCTTGACATTACTGGTAATTTTTTAGGGCAGCCAGAATGCGAAAGAAAGAAAGAAAAAATCGAAATCAAAATTCCGCGCTCAGAATGCGACCCGCCAAATGTTAACTCGACATTTTGAGGCCCCAAAACAGGCCCTTTTCATGACTGCCCCACATGCCCTACAACTCCTGGGCGTATGCTGGTTTGTCAGAAATAGCAATTCCATGGCCGAGCTGGTTACCCCATGGCCGAGCTGATTACCCCATGGCCAAGCTGGTTACCCCGTGCAAGTGGGTGCGTATCTATGATAGATTTGACGCGCTCAGCGTTTTGACTCTGAGTCAAAACGCTAGCGTTCTGATGCTATTGATGCCCCCTGTCCGAGGGGTACCCCCAGTTTGACGCTCTTGCGGGCAGGAAAAAAATCCCAAGCATGGGTAAAAAAAACTGGGAACAGGGGGGAGAGGTTCGGGGGTTGGTGGGGACTACAGCGCATGTCGAGTTCTGGTTTGCGGAAATCTTTTGGGCACGCATGAAGCAGGAGAGGCAGGAACAGTCCGATTGAACACAGCTTGTTTGCTGGTTAGTTATGTTTTTGTAATGTGAATATTTCCTTGGCATGATGACTGTTGGATTGCCACATTCTTTGGTTTTTGTTATTTTTTCAAGAAAGTGTTGGACACCTTCTTTTTAAGGTGCTTGCCGGCTTGCCTTGCCTTTTAAGCAAGCCAAAGAGCGGCAGGAATGCTCCAAATGCACCCGACGCACACGGCCCTTTTTTATTTATTTATTGTAATAGTGTTTATGTGAGCACACCTTCTTGCCGTGCATGACGAGTACCAGCCATGCTTCTTGAGCACACAGGAGAGGGGGAGGGAGGAAGAGTCCGGGTGAACAGCACCACATACACGATTTGCTACCTAGACAAGGCATGTAAGACATGTAAGGTAAGTACACCCCAGCCCATGCATGCATCCGTGCACGCACGCACCTTCTTGCCGCGCATGACGAGGGCGGGCTTGCCGTGCTTCTTGAGCACGCGGGAGAGCGGCAGGAAGAGCGGCACGAGCTCCAGGACCTCGTGGAAGGGCACCCGCGCTCCGGGCGTGCCGCCGATCACCAGCAGGTTCACCAGCGAGTTGTACGAGGAGACCCGCGTGCCCGCCTCGTAGTGGAACTGCCGCATGGGAAAGGAGAGGGAGGGGAGAGCATGGGGGGGAGGGGGTTGGGAAGGGGTGCGGCGTGGCCCCAATGACCGGCAGGTTAATGAGGAAGTTGTAGGAGGAGACTCGCGTGCCTGCCTCGTAGTGGAACTGCCGTGGGGGAGAGGAGAGGGAGGGGGAACGGAATAGAAGAGTACGGGGGTTCTGAGGTGCTCCTGATGAGTAGGGGAGAACCGTAGTTCACATCACATGCACATGCACATTGGGCAACCACCCAATCGGACACCCCTTCTAGCGTCCAACCGCCCATCCCTTTCCCTCTTCCCCCTTCCAACAGCCCCACCCCTCCCTGCCCCCGACCCCTCCTCTTCCCTCCCATCCACCCTCTCCCCTTTTTCGCTCTTCCTCCTCCTACCCCGACCCCTCCCTTTCCTCCCATTCAACCCCCCTTTTCATTCTACCCCTTCCCTTAAATCCCCATCATCCTGCCAACCTTTTCGTCCCTCTCTCCCTCCTCCCTCCCCCTCGCACCCACGCGCACCTTGTCTTCGGCGTAGCAGCCGTTGGGGTTGAAAACATGTGTGGCGTTGAACACCTGCCCCTTGTTGTTCACATACACGTCGTGCAGTGCAAACACTCGCCCCGACCACACCATTGCCACCGCTGAACCCCCTTTTGCCGCCTTCCCGCCTCCCCCTTCCTCCCCTTCCACCTCGTCGCCCTCTTCTCCCGCTTCTCCCCCTTCCTCCTCCTCTTCCTCTTCTTCCTCCTCCACTCCCCCGTATTCGTCGTTTTCTTCGGGTTTGGTCGTGGTGCCGTTCGCCGCGAGTCGCGGGGCGAGGTCCATGTAATCCGGGTTTCGACAGACGGAGATATCCTCGAAACCCGCGTCTTCGCACATCCGGAATTCCGGGCAGAGGAGGGCCTTGGCGCACGTCGCGAACTTTCGCCTGCTGGTATCCGCTTTAAGCGCTCGCCGACCCTTTCGCGAAAGAATGCTTGGAGGGGGATTCGGGTTGAGATCGACCACTTCAAGGCGCTTGCTGTCGATCGCTTTTCGCAAATCACCCGCTGATGCATAATGCGTGCCTCGTTTTCGCCGAGATGCACCTGGTAACCAATCGCTAGCAGAAAGCAGCCTTCGCCGGCTACCGTGGTTTCGTCCTTCAGACATGCGAAAGGCGGGAGGTCCGACCAGCAGCGACCCATTACTGATCGTCCTGTCGCCAGAAATTTCCATACTTGTCCTTTTTTGCGTCAACTGATCAGGGGGAATAGCAACATCCGTGGTCCGGACCTCCATAGGCGGTTGTGGAAAGCGATGATGGAGAATAGAAGGATCGCCGGCGAGGTCCGAGACACCGGTGCTGCCGCTTCCATTGCCACGTGTCAAAAGCAACGCGACTAACAAGGTCAGGGTGAAACCGTTGCCACGTGTCCGCATGGAGAAGCTAAAGGGATCGCGGCAGCGTGCACGACATCGTACGGCACGCGCGTGAAGTATAACGGAACAACCTCTAACGGAACAGGACTCCATCTGCCGGGATAGCGTCAGGTATTATTTACCGATCTTTGTTCCTCCGTCTGATCTCCCGAGGGACATTTCTACCAACGTGGCTCCTCTGCGGAGGCTGCTACTTGGGTGGGAAGGCGTGACCATATCATCAACTGCGCCCCAAAACGTGTGGACGGACGAATAGCCGGCTTGACCTTAACCGCCTATTAAACCGCAATGGCGTCCTTAGCTTGGCATTGGCCTGTCCCTACGGGTCGCGAGTAATAAGACGGCAATCCAAGTCAAGGGCGACAGTTGACTCGGTGAAGGAGACTGTAGGAGTGATAAATTATGATTACTTGAGTTGAAAACTTGTCTGGGCGAGATATTAGGACGCGGTAAGAGTAGACGATCGATCATCTGATGCGATCGATTGCAGTTCGGTTACTCTATTCACCGGCACGTAATCATGCTTCGAAGCCAATTATCAAATATTCGTACGCATCCTCAGAAGGCGACTGATTGTAGAATTGTGATGAGCGATCGGGGCACTGTCGCTGCACGAATGAGCATGAGCCGGGCAGGCCAGGGACGAGTGGTCCCCTTGCTTGCGAATCACACGACTTGTTTAACGATGAGCTTTCGCGGTTCCAGCAACAAGACTCTCATTTGTCAGGATAGTTTCCATGTAGCTTATGAGATTCATCATGCGGAACACTCTGACCAGTTGGTTTTGCCGAATGTAAAATCGACGGTCTTAAACAGTTTCATCGATCGACTCGCTAGAACGAGCAGGATGGCCGGCGCGCAGTACTCCACGGCGTCGTACATCACCCATGTCATGCAGGGACTCTCTAGCAGCTACAACCTGCTGAAGCGGCTGTCTATGGCGCCGAGCACAAGGGCGACGCTCAACGAGGACAACCTTACCTCGTATATCCTGCAGGACGAGGCGATGCAGGAGGCTGAGCGGTCGCAGGAGCTCTTTGCGCAGGCGAACTTGGTCACCTCAGCGAAGCAAGGAGGCCGACCGGGGCAGCGCGGGCAGTCTGGCGGTGGTGGTAGCAGTGGCTGGAAGCCGGCCAAGGAGGTCGACAAGAGGAAGTCGACCAAGGACAGCGGTCGTGGAGTAGGAGGTCGACGTCGGGAATGCTGGCTGTGCGGCGATCCCTTGTGCGATTCGATATGCGGAGCCGAACCTCCGATCTGGCCACTTGTACTGCGTCCTGATCGTCATCGCTGAGCTTATGAGTGGTGAGGTGGCGAGGCTAGCAGTTGTTGGCGTAGCGAGGCGAGGCGATCAATTTGTGAGGGAGTGACGAAGTGACCGCACATTGATTGGCAAGTAAGGGATCGCCCACAGTCGCGTGGCGTCGTAACTCGGTCGCTTGATACGAAGTTGCATGCTGTTACGTGTGCAATTGAGTGAACGAACGAGAATTGCACTATCGAAGCAAAAGTACAATGAGCGAAGGCATGAGCGAAGGATTATATAGCGAAACAATAGTGGTAACGGTAATGGACTGTGGTTGTCGCGCGTCGAGCCTGAGACTGAGGTTGGGAAAATGTCGAAGCGTAGGCCCGGAGCGCGGGTTACCGGCCGAGCCGTGAGGTCGGGATGCGATGTGCGAAAAAGGCGGGATGATGAATGATGCGATGGTCGCGAGTGGTAACGGTGCTGACTGAGGTGCTACAGTGACGTACGCGCTGGGCAGGGACGCGAAGTAAGGAAAAGGGAATTTCCTTACACTACCCCCCTCCCAAGGAGGCCCCTTCTTACGAGAGCGCATGGACATCGCGGAAATTTCGGCTTCGCAGATACTCGGTGAAGACAGGGTGGTTCTCAATTTTATCCAGGGGGACCCAGTTGTCTTCTGTGGGCGTTCGGTCCTTCCAGCGAATTAGGAACTCGATCCTTCGGGCTCCCCGAGGGTCGCGGACGCGGTGGCTGAGGATTTTGTCAGGGGTGATGAGTGGTTCGGTTGGGGGACGTGTCATGCTGGCTGGGCGAGTTCGTGGCAATTGGCTCGTGGATGGGATGTAAGGGCGAAGTAGGCTGACGTGGAATGACGGGCTGACGTACCAGTCAGCGGGGAGGAGGAGGTGGGCGGTGACGGGTGTGATCATGTGGCTGATGCGAAATGGCCCACAATATCGGGGGCGAAGTTTTGGAGTGATGGGCAGGCGAAGGTTCTGAGTGTCGAGTAAAACGAGGTCGTCGGGCTGATAAGTAACGGGTCTGCGATGTCGATCGGCGTTGCGTTTAGCGATGATGTTTGATTTTTTTATTGCTTCTGCTGCCCTGGTCCGTGCTGCCTGCAGAATCTCGGCGAACTGTTGTGCTCGTGGGACGGGGTTGTCGGGATTCGGTGTCATGGGTACTGTTGGGTTCTGTCCGTAATTTAGATAAAACGGCGATTGTTGCGTCGTGGCTGATGGTGCGTTATTGTATGCGAACTCAATGAGTGGCAGTTGCTGTTCCCACGTATTCGGGTCGTCGCACGTGGCTCGAATCAGCTGCTCCATGGTCTGATTTGTCCGTTCCGTCTGTCCGTCGGTTTCGGGGTGATAGGATGAACTGAACTGTAAGCGTGTGCCGAACTGTTGCCACAGGTTCCGCCAGAAGTTGCTGGTGAATTTCGTGTCCCTGTCGCTGATGATCGACGCGGGTATCCCGTGCAGTCGTACGACGGTGGAGATGAATAGTCGGGCGGTTTCTTCGGCTGTGATGGATTTCCTGCATGCTGCGAAATGAGCCATTTTCGTTAGTCGATCGACGACGACCAGGATCGCGTCATTCCCACTCGCCCCAGCTGGTAACCCCGTGACGAAGTCCATCGTCACCTGCTGCCAAGCACGCTCTGGAGGCGGGATGGGTTGTAATTGCCCCGCTGGTCGCTTCCTGCTTGTCTTCATGAGCTGGCAAGTGGGACACGATGCCACGTGTCGTTGCACATCGGTCAACATTTCTGGCCAGTAGTAGTACCGCTGCAGCTGCTGCCGTGTTTTTTCTACCCCGAAATGTCCCGAGGTAACTCCATCGTGTGCTTCCTGTAACAGTAGTTCCCGCAGCAGCGTGTATCCCGGTACCCAGATGCGGTCGGTTCCAGTTTTTACGTAATAGACTCCTTTTGCCGCTGCGAATTGCTGTGAGTTGCCTCCTGTAAAGAACGAGTCTGTTTGATATCCGTGGGTAAATAGGCCGGTAAGCAGTGGGCTGGTCTGGGCGAGTAGTATCGCGTGGATCTGGGCAGTGGGGCGGGTCAGTGCGTCGGCGATATTCGATGCTCCTTTTTTGTATGTGACCGTATAGTGAAAATTCGACTCGAGGAAATCGAGCCATCGAATCTGTCGTGGGTTGAGGTGGGGCTGTGCGCGGAGGTACTGTAGAGATCGGTGGTCTGTCCGTACTGTCACGTCTGCGCCAGTCAAGTAGCAGCGCCAAACTTTGAATGCATGCACGATCGCGAGCATTTCGCGGTCGTGTATCGGATAATTTCGCTCAGGCGGATGTAGTTTGCGTGATTCGTAGGCGATGGGTTGGAGGCCGTTGCCGAAGTCCTGTAACAGTACAGCTCCGATGGCGATGTCACTTGCGTCGGTAACCACTTCGAAAGGGCGGTGGGGATCAGCGATACGTAGAACGGGTGGTGAACAAAGGACGTTTTTTAGGGCAGAGAAGGCAGCATGCTCTTTCTCCCCCCACGTAAAAGTGACCCCCTTACGCAGTAAATCAGTTAGTGGGGCTGTTAAACGTGCCATGTCGGGCACGAACCGTCGAACGTAATTAACAAACCCTAAAAAACTCTGCAGTTCCGTGATGTTTGTCGGGGGGCGCCACGCTTTTACCGTATCCAGCTTCTTTGGGTCGATCTCAACCCCAGCCTCGGAAATGACGTGACCTAAAAACTCTAGCCTATCCCTAAAGAACTCGCACTTGGAGCCTTTGGTGAGCAGCCGATGTTCCTCTAAAACCTTAAAAACTGCTTCGAGGTCTGCTAAGTGTTGCTGCTTATCCCGACTGTAAACGAGGATATCGTCGAGGTAAACGATCACGCATTTATCTAAAAGCGGTCTAAACGCCTCGTTCATGGTCATCTGAAAAGTCGCAGGCGCGTTCGTTAACCCGAAAGGCATTACTGTATACTCGAATGACCCGTACCTAGTCCTAAATGCTGTTTTTGCGCAGTCCGATGGTTCGACCCGAATTTGATGGTAACCTCCCCGTAAATCTATTTTCGAAAAGACACGTGCCGTTCGCAGTTGGTCAATGAGTTCGTCGGCGCGGGGGATGGGGTATCGCGATTTGACTGTTACTCGGTTAAGCGCTCGGTAGTCGATGCACATGCGAAAACCTCCGTCTTTTTTCGGTGTGAACAGTATGGGTGCGGCGAACGGTGACGAGC